TTTTAGTAAATAGGTGAGTTTGCAAATATGGAATGCAAAAATAATGAAGATTGACTGTATCTGCTTAACTACCTGAAAATAAACAAGAAACAAATGGTTATTATGGACAGAAAAGTGGAGGAAATAAGAGTATAAAATGCTAAAACCCTTAAGTAAAAGGAAACAGGATATTTCCATGGTCCCAATTATCATCCTACAGACTACTGGCTAATAACATACAGGCAAAACTTATGTTTAAAACCAATCTTCATAGGTTACCACCCTAACCAAGCATCAAACTTGCATCACAAATAGTGAGTTAATTTGATATTGTTACTATTATCACTTCTGAAGTATTCTTGCCCAAAATTTAATCTCAACTTAATTAAATCTTGCTCTAACTTTTGGTTTAAGGAAATCACTTTTAAGTATCTCTCAAACCTAACCATGTCTTCCTACAAACCTGGGGCCCTTACCAGGACACCAATTTTGCCATCAGAATTAACTTTCTGAAATGTAATTCTTATTATTTCACTTCCCTACTGAAAATGCTCCAAATCTCCTCATATCAGGATAAAGTAAATAACTCATCTCTTTTTTAAAAAATATATTTTATTGATTATGCTATTACAGTTGTCCCATTTTCCCCCCTTCACTCCCCTCTACCCTGTACACCCCCTCCCACCCACATTCCCTCCTTTAGTTTATGTCCATGGGTTGTACATATAAGTTCTTTGGCTTCTACAGTTCCTATACTATTCTTACCCTCCCCCTGTCTATTTTCTACCTACCATCTATGCTACTTATTCTCTGTACTTTCATCCCCCTCTCTCCTCCTCCCACTCCCCTGTTGATAACCCTCCACATGATCTCCATTTCTGTGGTTCTCCTCCTGTTCTAGTTGTTTGCTTAGTTTGCTTTTGTGTTTGTTTTAGGTGTGGTTGTTAATAATTGTGAGTTTGCTGTCATTTTACTGTTCATATTGTTGATCTTCTTTTTCTTAGATAAATCCTTTTAATATTTCCTATAATAAGGGCTTGGTGATGATGAACTCCTTTAACTTGACCTTATCTGAGAAGCACTTTATCTGCCCTTCCATTCTAAATGAAAGCTTTGCTGGATAGAGCAATCTTGGATGTAGGTCCTTGCCTTTCATGCCTTGGAATACTTCTTTCCAGCCCCTTCTTGCCTGCAAGGTCTCTTTCGAGAAATCAGCTGACAGTCTGATGGGAACTCCTTTGTAGGTTACTGTCTGCTTTTCTCTTGCTGCTTCTAGGATTCTCTCCTTCATTTTAATCTTGGGTAATGTAATGATGATGTGCCTTGGTGTGCTCCTCCTTGGATCCAACTTCTTTGGGACTCTCTGAGCTTCCTGGACTTCCTGGAAGTCTATTTCCTTTGCCAGCTTGGTGAAGTTCTCCTTTATTATTTGTTCAAATAACTTTTCCACTTGTTGCTCTTCCTCTTCCCCTTCTGGCACCCCTATAATTTGGATGTTGGAATGCTTAAACATGTCCTGGAGGTTCCTAAGCCTCTCCTCATTTTTTTTGAATTCTTCTTTCTTCATTCTTTTCTGGTTGGTTGTTTCTTCCTTCAGGTCCACTCCATTGATTTGAGTCCCAGTTTCCTACCCATCACTATTGGTTCCCTGTACATTTTCCTTTATTTCACTTAGCATAGCCCTCATTTTTTAATCTAATTTGTGACCAAATTCAATCAGTTCTGTGAGCATCTTGGTTTCCAGTGTTTTGAACTGTGCATCTGATAGGTTGCCTATCTCTTCATCACTTAGTTGTATATTTTTCTGGAGCGTTGATCTGTTCTTTCATTTGGGCCATTTTTTTTTTTTTTGGTCTCCACATGCCTGCTATGTATAAGGCATGGAGCCTTAGGTGTTCACCTGGGTGGGGAAACCCACTTCACTGGGTTGTGACGTTGTGTGTGGGGAAGGGGTCTGAGAGGGAACAATGGCTCTTGCTCCAGTCTCTGCAGGATTTCAGTCACTTCCACAGCTACCCACAAGCAAATTGGGTGCTTCTGGTGCTGATTCCCATGTGGGTGGGTTTGTGTACATTCTAGGACCCTGTGGGTCTCTCCAACAAACTCTCCTGCAAGGCTGGGAGTTTCTCCTGGTGCATCAACCCCCACAGGTGTTTTCAGTCAATGGTTTTGAAGCAGGAGACAGCATAGGAAGAACTATGAGACTGCAGTACTGTCACTGGCCAGCATTCAGCACCCTGGTTGCCAGGAAACGCCTTTTATCAATTAGGTAGAATAAATAGTAAACCGAGGCAGGGAGGAGGAAGGAGACAAGTCTCACATGCTAACTCAGCAGTCCTAAGCCTGTTCTGATAATATTGCCAGGTGTTTCAATATCACAAGAAACACTATATTAGCAAGAAAGAAAGTCCTTGAAATACTATATAACATTTCCACTATCTGGAAAAGAAAGCCTTGAAATTGTGCTTTCATCCCAAGGCCTGAATGTGGGAGAGGGTCCCTGGTGCCCAAAGAAAGAGCCCATAAAACAACTTTGGTTAATTGCCTACCTCTGGTCAGTATCTGTTTTAGGAGGGAGTCCCTGATGCTTACAGAAAGAGCCCATAGATAACTTTGGAAAGTGCCCCAAATTTTAATTAACGAAATGGAGTCTTGCAGCAAGATAAGGATTCAGGCTAATAGACCCCCCACACATACCTGAGTTTGGGTAGTCACATCCTCCCAGGAAAGCTGGCACCACTTTTCCCTGTTAATCAGTATGTAACTTTTTCCCTCCTATCCCACCGACTATATAAGTCCTGAGAACAAAGGATTCGCTCTCTCTCTTGGGAGCTCTGGGTACTCTTGGCGTTCGGGCCACAGGGCCTCTGGCCACCTGGCCTCAGGCTGCCCAGGGGCTTGCCACCCTGGTCTCCAGCCTCTCTTGCTTTTCTCACCCTGCTTTGCTCTGAAAGTTTGCCTTTCACCCCCTACTCTACCCAGTCCTGTTCTCTTCCATGGAAGCAGACCACTAATAAACTGATTACCTACTACTAGGTTTGCTGATATGTAATTCTTTACATGCATCAGCAAGAAGAACCAGGTCTCTCCCGTCAACAGTTTGAGGGTTTATTTCCCCAGGCTTGGACCCTGGGTTGTGCAGTCTGTCCCTCTCCCCAGTTGTTTCTCCTGGTTTATCTGCATGTGAACGTGGGACCTCCCAGTCCACAATCCCCTGCCTCACTGGGTCCTCCCACTGCTGCCTTGCAGGCCAGCTGCAGCCTTTTGTGCTGCGCCCCACTCCACAATCCACCGCCTTCTTGAGTCTGCCAGCGGCCACCTTGCCCTGCCCTGTTCCTCCAGCTACCACCTTGCTCCGGGTTCTCTCCTCCCTGGCTGCCTGACTCCACCCCTCCTACTGGTCTGGATGAATGTGTCTTTTTTAACTCCTTGGTTGTCAGATTTCCATACAGTTTGGTTTTCTATCAGTTCTGGTTGTTTTTCGCCTTGAAATTGTTGTTGTCCTTCTTTTGGTTGTGTGAGGAGGCACAGTGCGACTATTCTACCTGTGTCTCCATCTTGGATGGAAGTTCTCATCTCTTTCTTTCTCTCCTATTCCTTCTGCCAGGAACACTTTCCTCCCTCTTCACCTCTGTTTGCCTAAACAACTTCCACTCATCTTTCAAGTCTTTACTTGCTCTTGGGAACATTCCCTTAGTCTCCCAAATCTGAGTTGGGGACCCTGTGAGTTTCATGTCTGGTATAATGCTTCAGAGAAGAAAATTAGCATGCTTCATGGGGAGAACATGCATAAATCTGTAAAAAGAATTATTCTAGTAGCAGTAGAAGTTTAAAGCCAGAGGGGATTATGAGATTATAAGCCTTCTAAGAATTCACAAAAATCTTGGTGAGGGCTTTGGAATTCTAGTACAGGTAGAAAGAGGATTCCTGGGACCGAGGTTACATATATTAATAACAACAACTACTACTACCACTGTTACTACCATTTACTGAGCACCTAGCTGCATGCTTACATCAGAGCACTGCTGTGTGCTGCCCACCTTTCTGCCTTAAGTCCTGACTGTCCAACCATCCAAAGTGAATGTTCTAATGATCAACTTACATTATTCACTTCTTGCTTAAGATCCTATGGCCTCGCAGTTAAAGTTCAGACTCAGCATGACAAACAAGGCTGTGTGACTAGCTATTCCAGCTTTATCCTTGGCTGCACCCCACAGTCATTCTCTAGTCATACTGAACTATTTACAGCAGGGATGTCAAACTCACTTTCACCTGTCAATAAATCACAACTTTCCTTTCTGTTCTTCTGCTGTATTTTTTTCCACTTTTCTACTATACTTCTCATTCCATACAGCATGAATTTCTTTACATATTTGTCCCTCTGACTGGACTTTGAAGCCTCTGTAGTGGAACTATGTCTTACACATCTTAAAATTTACTTTTTTTCATTCATTTAGCCAACAAATTTTCCAGTCTAATACAGCCACAGAACCAACTATCTACAGTAAGCAGGCACTTAATAAATGCATCATCAGTAATTGAATGAATTAACTTGTTCTGCATGGTGGGCAGCCACAATTTCTTCGAAGAGTGACTTTGGACAAGTGCATTTACAGGTGCTGGTAGAAATATGATCTTCCCTCTTGGCCTTAGTTTTACTTCTGTAACATCGTTTTATAACAAGCATTAGCCCAGAGAGTAACTTTTCAGCAGTGTGGGCTGTATGATCTTTGCTGCGACTCTTCAGCTCTGCCTACTCAACTAGGTGGTTGTGGTGTAAAAGCAGCCACAGATAACACATACGAGAGTTAGGGTGGCTGTGTACCAATAAAACTTTATGTACAGAAGCTAAAACATTTTAAAAATATTTTTAAAATTTATTTTTAGAGAGAGGGTAAGGGAAGGAGAAAGGGGGAGAAACATCAATGTGTGGTTGCCTCTGGCACGCCCCCTAGTGGGGACCTGGCCAGCAACCCAGGCATGAGCCCTGACTGGGAATCCAACCCGAGACCCTTTGTTTCGCAGCCCCCCACCCCGTTCAATCCACTGAGCTACACCAGCCGGGATCAGATGCTAAATTTGAATTCATTATCATCTTCATGAGTTACACAATATCATTCTTCTGAATTTTTTTCAATCACTCAAACGCTGGAGGCTTGTGAGCCCTACAAAATTAGGTGGTGGACAGGATTTGACCTCCAGGCCTAGTTTGCCAGTATGTTTCAGAAAAATTCCTTAAAAAAAAAGTCTATGAAGTACACATACACTTTCTTTGTATTTTTTAAAAATGTATTGGTTTGAGAGGGAGAGAGAGAAAAACACCGATTTGTTGTTTCCTCTTATACATGCATTCATGGGCTGCTTCTTGCATGTTACCCTGACAAGAGATAGATGGTGCAACGTTGGACCATGCTCTAAACAACTGAGCTGCTGGCCGGGGCTCACACACACCATTCTTGTGGATTACCGTCTCTGCTAATTGCGTGGAAAAGGTGCACACAAAATATTCATTAATATGCTGACTTATGCCACTGCTACATCAGTCCCCGTGGACCAGAAGCCCATTTATCCAGTGAATAAGATACAGTTAGGCGGTACTAACAAAATAACACAACCCCAGGGATATGAAATTGGCTAGTGGCAGGGTTCCGCAGAGCGAGGGCACCTCCCTCACTAGTCAGACCCCAGGCCTCCCTCACTGGCGTGGCCGCTCCAGGCTCGGCCTCTCCGGTGGCTGCAGGACCGCGCAGACGCACAGCTTCCGCCTTCCTCCAATCTCGACCCTCGACGCGTTCCGTTCGTGCGTGGAGGAACCGGGCGGGCGGAGAGGCATCTCCGTGGGCCAGGGCTGCGGGGTGTGGAGCGGGTCGGCCCAGCGACGGCGCGGATGGAGGACTCGCAGGTGTTCTGCGTGGCCGAGGAGCGCAGCGGCCACTGCGCCGTGGTGGACGGAAACTTCCTCTACGTGTGGGGGGGCTACGTGGTAAGGGGAAGAGGCGGGACGGGGCGGACTCGCGCCGGGAGCCCTCTCGGACCGAGTGGACGCGGAGCGCCCGCCCACACGCGGCCCCCAGGCGGGGTGGTTGGCGGCCTAGGCCGGTCCGCGCCTGCCCGCCGCCCCCAGCGCCTGTCCGCTGCCGCCAGCCCCCCCGCCGTGGGCTGCTCTCGGGGTCGCGCCGGGGCTTGGCGCCACACTGCGGGCTAGGAAAGCTTTCAAACCCGGTTGGGGGCTCTTCCCATTCCCACTCTTTCCCACTGTCGCTGCTGTCCAGTGACCCGGGTTTACCCAACACTAAATCAGTTACTGCGCGGTTAATGATCTTTAAATGCTTGCGGAGACCGAAAAGTACACCGAGGGCGCCGTGCTGCATTATCATGTAAATACTTCTTTATCGCCATGGCGCAATAAAAAATTTAAAAAATTGGAAATCACCGAAACATTTAAATATTCCTAAGCAATTTTTAGTGTCATTACTTTACCAAGGACATATACACTCTCAAGGGCATATATACCAAGGAGTGGAATGTTGGGTCACTTGACACACACATCTTAAAATTTGCTTGGAAATTTCACTGTTGCCAAATGGATAATTAGGATTTTTTTTCAAATTTCAAAATAGACTCATTCATATTAGCAACAGTGAACTGAAGAACATGCTTAAAATTTCTTATCACAATGGAGGATTGAATGTATTTGTTTTGTTTCTATAGTCATTGGATTATAGAGTCAAAGATTCTGAAGGTGGGAAGCAGTTCAGGAGCATATGCCAGCCCTTGAATTTACAGATTTTTTTTTTAAGTGAGCCATTTGGAACTTCTACTGAAAGTAGAACCCACGTTTTCTGACTGTCTCAATACTATTATGTGACAGATGTAACATGACTGAATCACTCACTGAAATAAAGTACATACTATCTATGTTAAATGGTCCTCAGATCCAAGTTGGTTTTTGCTGTTTTGTGTGTTTATTTTTAATCTGGTGCAGTATCAGGATAAGAAAATTAGAACTAACCTTTGAGTGACTACTATATCTGGTATGTGCTAGGAACTCTCATACCCCTAATCATATGTAATTTTTACCATACCTTATAAGGTAAGTAATACTTCATTTAAAAATAATAATGATGAATCAATGAGAATGAATAACTTGAATGGCCACTTCAAGGATAGCAAATTCCAACTAGATATATTGGATTCTCAAAGGCTATTTTTTTCTGTAAGTGAACATAAATTAGGTGAGTGTGATGTTTTAATGTCTAATAATTCCACCATTTGTTCTTGATGAAAAAATAGTCTAGACATAATGATGGTTTTATGCAAAGAAATATTTTTATTGTTTTTGAGCTCTGCTATTTGAAGACATAGAGGTGTCAGTCTTCATCTGCTATTTTGATTCTTAATATTGTAAAAGTTAAGTGAAAAATTTTTCAATTAAAATAATAGTTTGTATTATATCTGGTGACAGTATAGATTTCTTTTAGGCCCATACATGAAATGTCTGATTTTTTTATATCTCACTTTAATCTTGAAAATTGTATAATTGATAAAATTCCAGGTCTTTTGGTGTCAGTCAGTGAATAAAAATACTTCCTTCCCTACTATTTATTGATTCAGTGAGTAGTGTGCTGTAAGAACCACCCTGGAAAATACCACACAGGTTTGGTCCTAGATTGTTACTTTTTAAAGTCCAGTGATTATCAGCAGTTAAAGTATGTCTAAGGCATAAGTGAAAGGAAAGAGTGGAAGGCAAAAAGAAGAGGTAACATATCATGGGGAGAAGAATTCTTCCAACAATTGTTTTATTCAGATCCTTTTGAAGGGAAGATAGCTGAAAGGCCCCAGAATCTGAAAGTAACCAAAACCAATAGTCAGTAGTTAAGAATAATGATCAAATGATTCCATATTGCATGTTCCAATCACAATTTTTCATATTTGTTAAAATCTACAAACATATATCCTAAAATTTTTGAATGGCTAAATTACTTTGTTGTCAAACATATTCTATAGGACATTGTATCTGAGAACAGCCCTACCTTTAAACATAAGAGTGCCAATGTTGGTAAAAGTGGTAAGTTTTAATTGGTGTCAAAATATTCTTTCTCTTAGTTTTCCATATCCTTTCCACATTCCTGAAATTCATACAAATGTTAGTGGTGCTACTAGGAACATTTAAAATTTGTGAGTTAGTTTTCCCAAATTTGGGAGAAAATCAGTGTTTCAGCATGTTTGCAGATGACGTGCTTTCCTTTTAAGAGTTAATCATGTGAACAGTTTTATTTCCACAAAACAGTTGGCATTAATACATTTTGCTCTAAACTTTTTCTTATAGTAAATAATATGCTTTAGTACATATTCCTATTTTGGATATGGACTTGAAGCAAGAGAGGTCAATTCAGGAAATATTTGAAAAGAATGAAAGTGGGAGGTTTACAGTGCCAGATATTAAATTATATCACAGTGCTTTAATAATTAAATCACTGGTCCTGATGCAAGTGGAGAAACCATGAGGGACTGGAAAACAAATTACATAAGCAGCCAAGCATACAGACTATTCTGTAGTTAAAAGGTAGCATTTCAAATCTAGAAAAACAATCTCTTATTCAATAAATGGCCCAGGAATAGCTGGAGGAAAATGATAAATGATATTAGAGCCTTAGGATTGAAGACTTAAACGTAGAAAAATTAGGCTATCCTAAACCAGAAAAAAAGATGTGACTCTTGTGAAAACCTTGAGTTGGGAAAAGAAAAACTGAATTGGGAAACACTATACAAGAAAAACATTGATAGGTCTAACTTAAAAAAAAATTATTCTGTACTTTTTAAATAGTAACTTTTGAATGCAGTAACTCTCACTGTAAATAGTGAGAAGGCAAACGACAAACTGGAGAAAGTATTTGCAACATATAATAGGTAAAGTTCCAGTGAAAATAAAGATTAATATCTCCATTGAAAAGTGAGCAATGAATATGCATAATTTACAAAAGAAGGAATACAAATATAATGTGAATCAAAACAACCCACTTGAAAATAAAGATTTTTCTTCTCCAATTTGCAAATATTAAAAAGAATTTTTGAGAAGACCTTGGAGAAATGAATTACTCCTACACTGGTAACAGAAGTGTAAATTTGTGTAACCTTTCTGAGTAGAAATTTAGCAAGGTGTAGCAAAAGCCTTGAGTGTATATTCTCTCTAATGTAATAGTTCCACTTTATATATTCATAGGTGGTCACATAAACCATCTATGTCACGTGAAAGACATTCTTTTTAGATGCCCAGTATTTTAACCTCCTTCCTCTATTTGTAGTATCTCCTGCTGAGGGAGTCTTATTGGGGTATTTATTTCAGTTGTCTGACTACCTCCTACCTGCCCCCATAGGATGTAAATTCTATAAAGATAAAGATTTTGTTCCCCATTATATCCCTCGTGTCTAGAATGGGGTATAGCAGGTGCCCAATTAAAAGAACCCAAGTGCCAGTTATTTGCTTTTCCAGCCTCACTTGCAGCTAAGTTGTGGGCAAGTGGCTCAGACTTTGTTAGATGAATCTGTAATAGATTTGGATTCAGGAATAAAGATATAAAACTCAGGACCTGAAGAGGATCCTTACCCAGCAATAGAATTTGTAAGATGATCAAGGTCCCAGGCATAAAAGGTGTTGCTGCAAGCTGCAGTGTGGTGCTCACTAGACCTGTGTTTTGGCATGGTTTCAGACCTTGCTCCTCCTCATATAGATCAGAGGCTGCTTCTTCGGCCTGCCCGATTCCGTGTGTGCCTTAATATTCACTTCTTAAGATTTTATTTTCTTCATACATTTTTAAAGATTTTATTTATTTATTTTTAGAGAAAGGGGTAGGGAGGGAGAAAGAGGGAGAGAAACATCAATGTGCAAGAGATACATCTATCAGTTGCCTCTCAAACACCCCAACCTGGGGACCTGGCCCACAACCCAGGCATGTGCCCCAACTGGGAATCAAACCAGTGACCTTTCAGTTTGCAGTCTGGCATTCAATCCACTGAGCCACACCAGTCAAGGCTTATTTTCTTAGTTTTAAAATTCAAAGTGTATGTACAAAAGAATGTGTAAAATGAGTATCATTAAAAGGTAAACGTGTTTAACTTCCAGATTAAGAAATGGACTAGAGCCAGTGCCTTGGAAGATTCCTGTTTCTGCTTTCTGATTATAATATTCCTCCCACTCCCACAGGGTTCCACTATCTTGATTTCTTGTTAATCACTGTTTTCTTTATAGTTTTACCACAGTACATCTATTTCTAAACAATTTATTATTTGGTTTTGGAATTATAACATGTGTTTTCTTTGATGACTTAATTCTTTTAGATTGCATTACATGTTTTAGTTTTAGATTCAGACATTGCTGTATTCAGCTGGTGTGCACTTGTACGTCTGTACCAGTTTTTATTTGGTATCCATTCTGGTTGGTCAGTGTCCATGCTGCCTGGTTTTGAAATATTTTGAAAATCATCACTGGATTCATTCATTTGTTGTATGTACCTGTGTAATCTTCTATTGTGTGAATTTACTGCAATTTATTTATCCCCTCCACTATTGATGAATACTCGAATGTTTCTTTTTTCTTTTTTTTTAGTATTATAAAGAAAGCTACACTGAACACTTTTATAATGTGTCTCTTATTATACATGCATAAGGCCGCATACACTATCTAGGGCATATACCAAGGAATGAAATGGTTGTCACTAGGTACACACATCTCTGAATTTACTTGGGAATGTCACTGTTGCCAAAATATTTGTGTTGACTTACACTTCCACCAACATCCTCCTTGCTCTGCATCCTTGACAACATCTGGTACCATCTGGCATATTTCATTGTAGGTTTTGTTTGCTTTTCCTTGATTACTAATAAAGTTGAGTATCTTCATAACTTTATGGACTATTTGTGTTTCCTCTGCTGTAAAAATGCTGCTTCATACCTTTTGCTCATTTGTCTATTGGATCGTCTTTT